ACTCTTACATAACTCCACATTTACCCACCTTTGCTTATACATCCACTGAAGTCAATTATGCCTCTCCGCCATCACATTCATTCCATCATGGAGTAAGTGCTGCAGCAGAAATGCCGTGGCCCTTATACCTGGCTCCTACTCGTCCGGGGGCCTGTCACTGCGCATGGACCGGCCAATTTATCATGTAATCTGCTGGGGAGAATGGACGCTCCACTATCAGCAATCTGCTATTGATCCACGCCTGGGGCCCCTTCCATTGTTCAACTGGAGCCCTCAACTGCCATTAATGGAAAGAAACTAAACAATGCATAGCAATCAGACACCCCAAATATCACCCCCATCTGCCTGGTCCCCGTGTCGGGAGAGGACGAGAGCAAAAGGAAAGTTTATTTTTTTCTTGTTTAGGAGAAAACTTTTGTTATTATGTTTGTGTTTGAGAAGGTGTGGGCAAGGGTAAGAAAACACATTTATCATGTCAGAGGAGCTCATATCATCCTTGACCCTGAACGCCAGTCGACACCAGTGATATCGAAGCTGCTTATTGAATAATGTCCTCGGCACGCTTTGCTTAGGAAATAGAGATGTATGGTAAATCAGTATGATGGAGGGGTTCCAGGTAAAAGTGGTTGGTATTTTGAGTATGGGATTTATTGGCGAAACGCTGATAAGATGAGTGTAGATAGTGGGGTAGAGTGTGTGTGTGTGTGTGTGCGTGTATGAAATTGAAATGCAAATTTGTAACTAATCTACTAATCTCTTAAATAATACTTAGAGTTTAGTCGATTGAATATCTCTTTAGATTGGATTATGAGGAGACCAATAATAAAGGTATTGTCTATCTCCATACTCTGTCGGCCACTATCAAAAAGGATGACGTTTGTCTCTCTCGACAGAAAGAGTCTTGTTTAAGAAACCTTTACATTCTGATTGGCTGTGGGAAAGCTAGTACTCTGAAAGCTAAACTAAAGATGTGACAGGGCTAAAACACACGTACTGTATGTGAAAACTAATGATACTGTAGAACCAGGAACTAGCCTCTATCACCTATAATTAGATATTATTACATAGTTTATGTTTTGCGGTTTCAAATGTAGGTAGCTTCAAACATAGATGGACATTTGTAAAGGCCGACTAAATCAACGATCCTATTAGGTAAGTGCTCATCTGAGAAGTTTGGCTCCAACTTGCTGTGGCTCTTGTTCACATACACTGAAAAAAATAAACTCCTACTACTCTGTCACAGTTTGTGCCACACTTTGGGTTTAAAGACACATGGTTTAGGATTCTGTATGTCAATGCTTGTATTTTGATTATGTCTTTGTAAATCCAGTTTAGAGCCCTAAAAATCGACCAATCAGGCTTCTTCTGTTTCCACATCTTCTTTGGTTGCTATGCCGTTGCTACCTACGTCCTTTGGCTCTTGAATCTTGAACCAATGGAGCCTGTTATGTAATGATTTAGCTCTATTCAGCTTTTTCCACTTTTTCCAGGCAAATACTAACGGTAACGTCAGCTGTACACCCAGGCTTTTTCACACAATACACTATGTCTGGTTGCATCATACTCTGTACCTAATTAAAACATACAATAAATAAATAAAAAAGTACTCAGATTAATATTGTACTGAGGATGGAAATGTCATCTGGAGAGCAGCAAGACCTCTTTTCTGAGCGTAATAGGTCTATCGATGTTATAAATGTACTAATTTGTATCTCTTTATAACAGGCTAGTGATCATTAGTTCTGTTAGTGTCAGTAACTATCTATAAGAATGATTTGGTCGTTTTTTTTATTTATTTTTTATTCTTATTATTTTATTTTTATTGTTTTTTGTGTATATATATTTCTGTGTTTTTATTTTTTATACATTCATTTTTCTCGCTGTCTGTTCAGCACTTTGGTAAGATAAGGCTGTTTTAAATATTCTCTACAAACAAAGATTTGATTGATTGATTGATATGGTCACCTTTTGTTACTTGCTTTGTGGAGATCTGACTTAAACAAGGCCGTTGTTGCAGTTTGTGTGCTTTTGTGTCCTTGTTCTGAATTATTTTTATTGTGATGTGAAAACTTTGTATTGAGTTTGCAGGGTTCTCATACTCATATTTGCTTCAACCCACTCCTTTTTAGCAGAATTCAATATTGTCCAATACTTTGAGATCAATAAAGTGTATCTTAACTCAAACAAATTCATGAATACAGCTCTCAGTTCGTCCACTCCTCCTACAACCTCTGATGCAAATGTAAAGTATTTTTGAAAACTAATATAAATGATATAGCTCCTCCCCTTGGCATAACCACTAGTTAATTCACTCAGAGGGCTGTCGGTCAATCATCAAATTCAATTAATTTTGGACATTCAGGAAGACGGGGGTGTGAACTTGGGCGGGTCTAACTCCTGCATGCATTCATAATCTATTACTCATTTATGAATCCATAACTGTAGATGTGACCTACCTCACTATAGCCCCTTGTGGGTCCTCCTGTTATCTCAACCCATTAACACTAATATTCCGATACACACAACCCCAAACCTTCACACACACACAAAGCCACCATTAGCCCTCCGCCCTCTGCCCAAACTCACACAAACATAGACAGAAAAGTGGACATTATTTGGACCAATCACAGTTCACCCAGTTGGAATCTGGGCCATTTTCCATGTTGTTGTTTCCGGGCAGAAGACACTGATTTATCCGCGGAGACCCCATCGTCATGTAGCAGCAGGAAATATGCCAGCGACTGAGGCAGGGGACCCACAGGACATGGCCACTCATCTGTCGCTTCTGTCACCAAAACACAACGGCTCCCCACTCCCCAAAAATACACATGTACGTGCAAATGCTCCAGCAGTAGGGCAAGGATGCACTAGGGCCATATACATGCACATGATTTCAGGAGAACGTGTGTTTGGAGCAGAAAGAATGTTGTTTCGGTTTGGTTTTGATTTGGTTTTTGTGTAAATATGTTTGTCGGAACCAAAAACAATCTTTTTAAATCAACCTTTGAATACCTAATCATCTGTAGAAGTAGTAGTAGTAATAGTGGTAGAAGCAGAAAATAAATGCATAGTTGAATTTATCTTTCCATTTGAGAGAGATTGTCCCATACTCACTCTCATACATGTTCTATGCCCGAAAATATAGATAGCACTCTCAATTCTCAGCAAGAAGATCCTGGGTTCAAATTCCTGGTCGGTTTAGGGCCTTTATGAATGGGGTTTGCATGTTCTCCCCGTGTTTGCGCAGGTTTACTGATTGCTCCGATCTTCACTAACATTAAAACCATGTGCAATAGGCATGAATGTAATGAGTGAGTGAATGGATGGTGTTGGTTTGGAGCTTTGTGTTCGACGTCTCGCTTCCGTCATCACTGTGTGGAGTGCACGGAACAATATCCGAACTCTTAAGATTATAAGATCTGTAAAAATGCGCTATATGAATAAAGATTACTTACTACTTACTGAGTTACTATAGATTTCTCAGTAAAATACCAGTATAATTCCACTCTCTTGTATTATGATGCTTGAATGTTTCTGATCAATGCTCCGTTTCCCCCCAATCCATAGTCATTGTGCATCAATATTGAGATATCTGGCATGAATATTGACACATGTTCAGCCCTAATGTACAATTGCAGAAACAAACCGCCCAATTTATTAAATAGACTGCAAGTTAATTAAGTCAGTGTACTATTCTCATCCTCACACAAAATATAAAAACAGTCACACAACTCTTAGAACAAGACATTTAACCAATACATCTGCCGCTTCAGCTTCAGCTGTCACAATAAGATAACAATTGTGATTAAGAATCTAATCAGTGTCACCACAAGACAACATTTCATAATAGTCTCCAATCATCATTTCAAAAGTGCCATGGTCACCAATTCAAAAAACATATGCTTTGTTCTTTAAAACAATAGCAGCAGGGATAAAGCTATTGATAAATCTATGTCCTTAAGGATTTGAAACTGTATTCATGTAACTGTGCTCCGTCTCCTTTAAAAGTGTTTCTTTATGTCGGGCAAATGGGATGACTTTGGTTCAATGTTTTACCAGTAATTCATCATGGTAGCTTGTGTGTCCCAACAAACTCATCACAGGCAATAAAGTGGACTGTTTGGGATCCATTTGGACTCAGGCTCTATCAATCAACTGATGTAATATGCCAGCGAAGGAACGCCTCAAGCCTTTCATCTGCCATTGGGATGCATTTGCAACACAATCGGTTCCAACTATTTCTCTATCACTCAATCCCTTGATTGGTGCCAACTGCTAAGAGTCTATCTTCAATTATAGATACAGTAATGTGCAACTATTCAGAGTAGGCCTGTCAAAGATTACAATGTTGATGAATGGTTATATACATTGTCTTTCCAGTAGTTGCAGGAATGTTGCAAATGTATTTGTGTTGCAGTCAAACTTGCGCTCCAAACTTGCAAAGAGGACTGTGAGCTGTGAGCTGCCTGTTCTGGAGGTTCTGTATGAATCCAGACTTTTAAACCGAGCTCTTGAGATAATCACTGATTCTTCTGGCCACCCTGGAAAAGCCATGTTCCAGCTTCTTCCCTCTGGCAGAAGATATTGTTTGCTCAGATGCAGGACATCTCGTTTTGCTTCTTTCCTCAAGCTCTTATCAGTTTAAACAAGGCACTTTAATGATCTCATATGTATTAAAACTGTTTTTGTTGATCAATTTCACAGTAACAATTGTTTTACTGTACTTTGAACCATGATTTTATTTACATATGTACTGTCCTGTTCACACTGGGGACTTTTTGCAAATGTATTCCAATGTGGTTTTAGTGCAAATGGCAAATAAACGGAATTTGAATCTCTAGGTAGCCTAATAAACAACATATTTTTACACATTTTGACCAGCATAGTTTGCATTGCCAAAATTGGGATATACAGTAAATTATAACAAAGTAATGTCAACAGGCTACAGGCATCATTCAAACCCACAGTTCTTGAAATCTCAATTACATGATCCACTATCTTTAAAACAGCGAGTGGGGGACCGAGTGAAGTCGTTCAGGAGAAGGACCAGGGTTATGAGTCCTCTGCACGGGGAGCATTGGGGTCCTGGTGGAGGTCATCTCGCCTCTTGGTCCCGTGTCGTGCCCTGTGCTGCAGGTGAGCCACAGGGCTCCCTCGATCTGTAAAGCCAGAGGTGCACTCAGAGGGCTGCAATTTTAGCATTTACATTTTGTTCATCTATATTTACACCTCCTTAACCATGTTCTGTAAAGCGTCAGAATCTAATAATGACTAATAACCTATATCTTATTTCCAAAAGTTTTTTCCATCTATCTATCTATCTATCTATCAATCTGTTCCGATCACACACTCATTCATCCACATTCCCTCTGCACTTTGAGACTCCTCAGGCAACCAGTACTGCCACCAGGTGCCACAGTGGCGGGGTCATGGCCCTGGCTCACCCTTTGGTTTACAGCTGGGGGCCCTACAGCAAAATGTTTTTTTCCATGTTTTCCAAATGTAACATTCTAAAAAAAAAAAGATAAATTCCCCCCTGCACATATTCCTACTTTTTTATCATATACTGTATTACATACATTTCCAAGTTGCTCAGAAAAATCCCATTGGATATTTTGCAGCCTGAAGCCCTACTTAGTGGATATATTTTGCATTTCCAATTTACCAGAAATCTCTGTTACTATGCAAAACACAATGTGGAAAAAGTACAAATTAACTACACCTACGTACTTTGACTTTGCTGCTCAATGCCATGGCAGTAAATACAGCTTAGTCGGCTTGATTAAACAAAATTCTTTATTTGGAACTTCTGTGGGTGTCATAAAGCAGTGTGATTGCCCATAGCATCACCATCTGCCGGCGTGTGCAAGGTGAAAGTCTGAGCGCTCTGCAGGGATGGATGAGTGATAGGACAGTGGTCTCTGCGCACTTCAATGTTATTCACACTCAAATCTCAAGGTATCTCGCTGATGGGCCCTCCGCAAAGAAAGACCATTTTCACTAAGAACGACCACTGTATTCAAAGTGGGAAAAATTGTAAATTGTCTGCCCTGCAAAGGTTTTATATATTATATTGTCAAAAATGCAACTACAGCATGTGTTAGAATATTGGGAGAGATGAGTCGTGTTGGGGAGGAAACATTAAAAAGGTATTTAGTTCCAGAATACTCAAAATCAGCTTTAAAAATGTTTTACTTCCGATCAAAGCACTGTATTCGGAATACTTTGAATAAACATAAATTTGCATTAAAGGTACTCTGTGTAATTTTTACAGTTGCTCAGAATGAAAAAAACATGTTAATCCTGTGTCTCTGTGTCTATATATACCCTGTGCTTGTCCCCATTCGTTGCTGGTCCATTGTCTTTGTCTGTCAATGTCAGTCCATGATCCTAGTTCCTGGTTCCTGAGTTACTTTTGATTTCACCATGTGACACAATGGCTCAAATAAAATTAACAATTTCCCCTATATTCAATATTTATTATTTTTTGTACGTATTTGTACGTCTCTTTTACTGGACCATCAAGCTGAGCAAAAGTCCTCAGCATACAGCCAGATAAGTCTTCATGTCATTTATTACTTCTCTCTCCAGCTCATAACCAGCGCCGTACATGACCATCAGCGAAAGGGGCCCCTCCCGCGCTGGGTCACTGAGCCGCATGGTCAAACCGACAGTAAGTAAATCTGTCCGACAGCGCTAAGTCCTGCAGAAGTGTTTCCCCCCACGAGGGTTCCAGGGGGGGAGGGCACTTTCGGAGAGGCAGACACCCGCAGATAAGACTCTCACGTGGGGCCGCGGTCGTGTAATTCCCCCCTTAATACAGCAGGGCCCATGGTTCTCAGCTCATCTCCGGAGACTTCAGCTGTCAACGTGCACGGCCCTGAGGTTCTCATGGGCCTGTTTGTGTGTGTGGGTGGATGCGTGTGCGGGAGTCGCACTGTTGAGCCGTGCATGCCACTATGCATGATGGGAACGGTCAGACTGTAGCTAAAGCCGCACCAGATCCCAGAAGGCCGAGGGTTTCTACTGTAGCTACGTCCTTTTGTGTGGAAAGTTGTGAGGTTATGATGTATTCCAATGGAGATGGGGAGAAAGAATTGTGCAAAAGTTGAAAGCACATGTTAGTGTGCACAGTGAATAACAACAAACAATTGTAGCTAACTATTGTACATACTACCACACTGGTGGCAATTCAGGATAGGGCAAAAGTGTACCAGTATAGTAGAAACATATAGTAAATACATGGTCTGTGAAAGGCGGTATATAAATAAAGATTACTTACTCACTTACTTAAATACTAGTTTTCCCTAGATATACGGTGCCTTGCGAAAGTATTCGGCCCCCTTGAACCTTTCAACATTTCGCCACATTTCAGGCTTCAAACATAAAGATATAAAATTCTAATTTTTTGTCATGAATCAACAACAAGTGGGACACAATCGTGAAGTGAAACGAAATTTATTGGATAATTTAAACTTTTTTAACAAATAAAAAACTGAAAAGTGGGGCGTGCAATATTGTTCGGCCCCTTTACTTTCAGTGCAGCAAACTCAGTGCAGCAAGTTCAGTGAGGATCTTTGAATGATCCAATGTTGTCCTAAATGACTGATGATGATAAATAGAATGCACCTGTGTGTAATCAAGTCTCCGTATAAATGCACCTGCTCTTTGATAGTCTCAGGGTTCTGTTTAAAGCGCAGAGAGAACCATGAAGACAAAGGAACACACCAGGCAGGTCTGAGATACTGTTGAGGAGAAGTTTAAAGCCAGATTTGGATACAAAAATATATCCCAAGCTTTAAACATCTCAAGGAGCACTGTGCAAGCAATTATATTGAAATGGAAGGAGTATCAGACCACTGCAAATCTACCAAAACCCGGCCGTCCCTCCAAACTTTCATCTCAAACAAGGAGAAGACTGATCAGAGATGCAGCCAAGAGGCCCATGATCACTCTGGATGAACTGCAGATAACTACAGCTGAGGTGGGAGAGTCTGTCCATAGGACAACAATCAGTCGTGCACTGCACAAATCTGGCCTTTATGGAAGAGTGGCAAGAAGAAAGCCATTTCTCAAAGATATCCATGAAAAGTCTTGTTTAAAGTTTGCCACAAGCCACCTGGGAGACACACCAAACATGTGGAAGAAGGTGCTCTGGTCAGATGAAACCAAAATCGACCTTTTTGGCCACAATGCAAAACGATATGTTTGGCGTAAAAGCAACACAGCTCATCACCCTGAACACACCATCCCCACTGTCAAACATGGTGGTGGCAGCATCATGCTTTGGGCCTGCTTTTCTTCAGCAGGGACAGGGAAGATGGCTAAAATTGATGGGAAGATGGATGAAGCCAAATACAGGACCATTCTGGAAGAAAACCTGTTGGAGTCTGCAAAAGACCTGAGACTGGGACGGAGATTTATCTTCCAACAGGACAATGATCCAAAACATAAAGCCAAATCTACAATGGAATGGTTCACAAATAGACGTATCCAGGTGTTAGAATGGCCAAGTCAAAGTCCAGACCTGAATCCAATCGAGAATCTGTGGAAAGAGCTGAAGACTGCTGTTCACAAACGCTCTCCATCCAACCTCACTGAGCTCGAGCTGTTTTGCAAGGAAGAATGGGCAAGAATTCCAGTCTCTCGATGTGCAAAACGGATAGCGACATACCCCAAGCGACTTGCAGCTGTAATTGCAGCAAAAGGTGGCGCTACAAAGTATTAGCGCAAGGGGGCCGAATAATATTGCACGCCCCACTTTTTGGTTTTTTATTTGTTAAAAAAGTTTAAATTATCCAATACATTTTGTTCCACTTCACGATTGTGTCCCACTTGTTGATTCTTGACAGATATTTTTTTTATATCTTTATGTTTGAAGCTTGAAATGTGGCGAAATGTTGAAAAGTTCAAGGGGGCCGAATCCTTTCTTTACTGAGTATGGGTCAGGAATGGAAGTAAAGGTGAGGTAGGTAATTTTTCAAGCCAATTGTTTTGTGCATTTGTCTCTCACTCCACACACAGATCGGAGCGGGGGCCCCATACAGTTTTTAATAGTAGGGGAAACTGGAGCACCTGGAGGAAACCTACTCAAACATGGGGAGAACATGCAAACCCCAACAGAAAGTTCTGGAGGTGGAATTGAACCCAGGACCTACTTGCTGTGAGGCACAAGCACTAACCACTGCACCACCGTGTATACCGCCTGTATACAGCGCACCTTTGGTATGAAATTTTAAAAAACAGATTTTTACTCTTTATCATGTCATGTCTATTCCGTAAAATGACTGTGACTTTCCAAATGAAACTTATTTTAGTCTTAAGTAAACATTCTTGCCTCCACCTGCAGCCGCCATTATTTGGAGCCTAATGCAACGTCCAGGTTCATTTGCATTACTTGTGTGTCCTCCGTTATTAATATGTGCTGCATAAATAATCAGATGTGACCACTCTTAATGTTCCACAGTTCCCTCTGGTCGAGAGATATTAGACCTGGCCCAGTCATCTATCATCTTCTCTCAGACCCCCACCACACACACACACTTTCTAATGCACTGGTCAGCACTCAGCATACGCCAGGATACTGTTTAATTATAAACATATCAGGAGCCATCTTTTTCACCGTACGCACATGTCCGAGCGGCGGGTGTTGGGGATATATTTTTCATGAAGGGAGTTAGACATGCATGGGTAGGAAAGAGGTCCACCGGAGTGTTCTATTTCAACGCATAGAGACCTCCTTCTTATGAGGAATAAACATACAGTCAATCTTCTAAAGACAAAACAACCGCAAAAAATCTGAAAAGTTTACTTTGGGCATGATGAATTATAGTTTGGTCTCAGTGCTTGCTTGTGCTTTTAATCGTACTTTTAATGTTAACAACTGTGTATTATTTTTTTAAGTTCTTGACTGCAAAATATATATATATATATATATATATATATATAGAAGAGAATAAATCAAATATCAAATCAATTAAGTGAATGTAGGGGTATGGGGAGGGTCCACGTAAGTGAACAAAGGAAAAGCCTAAAATGCATGGACAGGCCGCACGTGACTATATATTTTCATTTTGTAAAACACTTCTCTAACAGCTCATGGTGCAAAACAGAAAGAAATTATATGACAGCTGAATCACTTACCCATTACTGCCATTGACGTATTTGGCTGAGACCGGTGATTTCTGTCAAACTTCCCCTCTATTTGACTGAAGATTATAGCAGAACAAAACTAGCTTGATTTTGCTTTCATAATTTACATAGTCACAGCACACAATATTCTGTGGTTCTTGAAAGTCAGTAAAATCATCAAAAACAGCTTGCAGTCAGTGAGTTAAAAACAAGTCCCATGAAAAATCCTTGTGTGGGCTCTATCTGCACTGTTCACATAAACATATCGAGAAACAGGTATTTTTGCCAAGTCATTAGCTTTGGAGTTCAACAGCTGATTGAGCCGTACCAGAATGTGATGGGAGACCTCTGGAAACACCAGGTGCCACAGTGGGGCGGCTGCGGCTGTAAAGTTCCAAACTGTTGTTCTGTCCTTAGCCCTCTATGGCATGACTTTTTATTTTAGGGGGAAAAAAATATTTCAACACACTTTTTAAGAGCTCGTGGGTCCCTAATAGCATATTGATCTTTACATTTGACCCCCCCCCACCCCCCCAATCAGATAATGGTTTGTTGCTTAAGGGCAACATTGTGCGACGAGGGTACTAAAACTAGAAAGGAAAATAATAAAACAAATACATTAGAGAAGCTTTTATTCTTTTATTTTTCAAGCTCAACTTTTTTAAACGGGTACAGAGCACTCCAGATTGCAAAAACAAAAGCAAAAACAGTTCTGAGCCTCTAGTAAGTCACACAGCTGCGGGTCTCGGTAGCCTATTGTGTATGGACATAGATGTTTCACAGCCAAGACAGAGACCTGAGACCAGGACTAATGTGAGAGGACTTCAGGACAGAGACCTGAGACCAGGACTAATGTGAGAGGACTTCAGGACAGAGACCTGAGACCAGGACTAATGTGAGAGGACTTCAGGACAGAGACCTGAGACCAGGACTAATGTGAGAGGACTTCAGGACAGAGACCTGAGACCAGGACTAATGTGGGAGGACTTCAGGACAGAGACCTGAGACCAGGACTAATGTGAGAGGACTTCAGGACAGAGACCTGAGACCTGGACTAATGTGAGAGGACTTCAGGACAGAGACCTGAGACCAGGACTAATGTGAGAGGACTTCAGGACAGAGACCTGAGACCTGGACTAATGTGAGAGGACTTCAGGACAGAGACCTGAGACCAGGACTAATGTGGGAGGACTTCAGGACAGAGACCTGAGACCAGGACTAATGTGAGAGGACTTCAGGACAGAGACCTGAGACCAGGACTAATGTGAGAGGACTTCAGGACAGAGACCTGAGACTAGGACTAATGTGAGAGGACTTCAGGACAGAGACCTGAGACCAGGACTAATGTGAGAGGACTTCAGGACAGAGACCTGAGACCAGGACTAATGTGAGAGGACTTCAGGACAGAGACCTGAGACCAGGACTAATGTGAGAGGAACTTCAGGACAGAGACCTGAGACCTGGACTAATGTGAGAGGACTTCAGGACAGAGACCTGAGACCAGGACTAATGTGAGAGGACTTCAGGAC